AAAAAATGTTGTCATAAGAGACCGCACCCCCGTGAGATGATGAGGGGCACAGACAGTTGGCGGGAATGGAAAAGAGGCCAGTGGTCGAGAACTGAGGCAAAAAAAGTACGAATGCAACACCGTACAGTAAAGGAAACGCCAAGAAGGAACATCAAATATCGAGACAAGAAACACGGGCAATTCAAACAGCACAGAAAAACCATGAAAACAATCAAAACACACACCCGAAAGAGGGGCAAAAAGAGATATGCAGGGAGCCCTTGCCCCTTCCCTAACACTACGCCACCCCCTCCGAAACAACAACAGCAGCAACAACAACAACAACAAAGATAGGGAGTATTGGGGAATACAGCTGGAAACGCTCACACACGTAGGCAGCAATAGAAATTGGGATGAAGGGAAAGGAAGAAGAACATCAACAACAAGAAAAAAAGAGACGTCTTCCCTTTCCAGTGGCGGAAGGGGAGACCCCGTGTCTCGTTTGCACCCAGATACACAGTTTCACTACGGAGCTCCTTTGCGAATGGAGAAAAGAAATGCACAGTAAAAAAAAAAAAAGATGGAATTAATACCACTACTTCCCTGACTCCCTTCTCCTCTCTGCCGTTTCATCTCCCTCGCGTTCCGAGAGAGAGAGAGAGAGAGAGAGAGAAGCACAATAGAAAGAAAAGAACAAACGAGCGAGCGAGCGGGCAGGAGAGAGAGAGAAAGAGAGGTACAGGGAAGAGGCTATTTTTCTGGATGAAACAACTGCTGGTGGTACATTTCGGCGCCAGCCGTTACTGCGCGGGAGCAGTGCGGGCAGCTCGAAAACCCAAACAACTCCACCAGCTGCTTCGTCGAGCACATCACCTCATAAGCAGAGACGTCCCACTTCCATGACGGTACCGTTTGCCCCGGGTCGCCCTTCTCCTCCTCATGTGTGTTGGGGTGGTGGCCCTCCATCTCCATGTGATCCAGCAACTCGCCGTGCGTAAGGAATAGCCGTCTGCAGCTTTCCTCCGGGCACTGGAACCCTAGAACGAGGTCGTCGTCATCGCTACCCGTGCCGCTGCCTTCTGGCAAACTTCGTTGTATCAGCGCACACAGCTTCGGGTCACTCTTGTCTACTAGAACCTCAAAATCCTCCGAAGAGAGCGCATGGCCGCCCGTGCCATATTGCGCTCGGCTAAGGCATACAGCAGTCGAGGGCAAGACGTCACGACAGTGTCCTGTCGTTGCTATGTGTTGTTGCATGTCGTTCCACGAGAGAAACAACAGACTACACAAAGGGCATTGGTAGAGGACAATGTAGGGTTTCTCTTGTGCTGGCCAAGGGGGCAGCCGTGGGCGAGACACCAGGTAGCGAGAGGCAACAAAACCGGGAATATCAAAAACGCAATTCTCCTTCGCCAGCAATCGTTCGAGTCTGTGCGTCGCCATCTCAGCAAGGGTGCCTCTTTTCTTGCACGTGAGACATGTAGCCTCGTCAGGGACAGAAGTAACCCCGTGATCTGTGCGCAGGTGCAGCGCGATGTGTAGAGAACTCACGAAAGAGACTCGACACTCGCAGCGATACTGTGGATGTGCAAGCACCGGTGGCTGGTCTAGCCGATAGTCCAGGCGGGTGTAAAATACACCAGAAATCCCGCGGTGCCCCGTTGTTTCCTCATGACGATAGGGCTGAGAGGGGCCGTAGCACCTCAACTGCAGATCACACTCCACACACCTTGCCGAAAAATGCATTGTCCTTTCCAAATGCTGCGTGAGCTTTGTCCAAGTTGGAAATACATTTAGGCACTCCAGACAGCGGAATGAAGGATCCTCACCTGACATATTTTCCGTCTCCCGCATCATATACCCGCGTTGCTCCGGGGCGAGAGACTGCGCGCCTCGGACTCTGCTGCGCGCCCTTCGACTCATAATGAAAATACGCGGCACCGAGTCAATGTTTATGCTTGTGCGTTCGGGGTATGTCCGTCAGTGATAAAGCAAAAGGGCGTACTCGTTACGCAGGCGACGCAGCGAAAAAGGTGTCGACTCCGAATGCAGCAGTCACGAACGCCAACCCGGCACGAACCACAGCACCAGGGAGTTGGGGAGAGTTACGTGAAGGATACTCCCCTCCCACGCTGGATTTGATGGATAGACAAACCTCAGTAGCAGTAACAGCAATGGTAGCCCGCGAGGGGAAATAAACCAAAAAGAATGATGATGATGGAAACAGAAAAAAACCACTCTGTTGTCTTTACCTCACAAATGAACCACCCCTGTTGTTGGTTTCCGACGCAATGGTGAAAGCAACAAACACCTAAGAAGAGAGTTAAAGTGTCTCTTCCTTCAATTTATAATAGTTCCTTTTCGTGTTTGCTGATGCGCCTGCGAGCGTGAGCGTAGGTCTGTCCTTGTACAGTCACGTACAGCAGAAGAAACAGCAGCCACAAGAGATGGGAATGAAAGGAGGGCAGTACGGACGAGAGCTAAAAGACCCTGCTTCGCAAGGCAAAACACTACACGGTTATAGTAGCAGGGAAGCTACAAGGACGTGCCTACCCTATGCACTCCAAAACGAACAAAAGAAAAAGACAAAGAAAAGAAAATAGATGATGCATAAGAGAAGGAAAAAAAAAAAAAA